AGGATTTTAAACTGCTTTATATTTTTGCTTGTTCTAAATTTCTAAACCATACAGCTGATTGGGAAGCTGGAGGAAAAGTGCAACCTGCTGCCTTCCGACTATAAGAAAGCACTGTCTGCAGAGCCCGATGAGATCATGTACACAACCCCCGGGGATGTGGGAATCTTCTACGATGACAACGGTAAGCATGAAGTGCTACAGACATCCAACCACCCACAACGCACCCCAAAGAAAGAAGCACTGAGAGGCCTTTTAAAGTTTTGATAAGTTGACTCCCCCTCGTGCTTCACAGTGGTTTGATCCAGTCCCAGATCACAGAGAGACAGACGCTGGAAAAGATGAGAAGCTCGGGTGTGGGGCGGGGGCTTCACGGTCACTTTGCTTTCTATTTTGGTGTCTTCTATTCCTATCAGCGCTGATGTGAGTGTCTTTTCTGACTTGCAGCAAGTCTGCAGACGTTAGTATAAATGTTTACGAGGCTGTGATGATGTCACAGTTGGCGTGTGCAGCTGCGAATGCTGCGATCATAAACAAGGTTTAAAACTGGGGTGACGTGTTCCTTCCTTAAGATGAACATGCACCATGTTTGTTTTCACTTGGTACAACAAAGCCTCAGATACTGTATTAGTCCACAGCTGAAAATAGTCCCCAGCAAACACTCTTGTTGTGGTTGTGGTGGACTGCTGAGTGCAACGCCATGCTGTTTAAAAAAAGAATAGATTTTTGATGGGGTGTAGGAAGCTTTAAATACAGAAATAGATCTGTATACTTGTTATACACTATATCACCAGTACGTACGTTATAGTGAGCACTCACTCACCCATCCAAATCAGTCACTTCCATGTCCACGGGTGTATAAAATCAAGCGCCTAGAATGGATTCGAGAGGGGGGAGCTCACGATCAGTGCTCTGAAATGGGTTTCATGGTCGAGCAGCTGTATTTGCTGTATTAGAGCAGGGGAGACTTGTTCTCTGGAGTGATGGATGACACTTCTTCTTCGACACCTACCGCCAAACTCAGACTCATCCATCGGAATGATGGGGGAGTTTGGGTTTGGCGGCTGCCAGGTGACACTACTTGTCTGACTGCATTGTACCAAGTGTAAAGTTTTGTGGAGGGGGGATTATGGTGTGGGGCTGTTTTTCAGGAGATGACCTCAGCCTTTTAGTTCAAGTGAAATGAACTCTTATTGCTGCAGCATACCAAGATATTTTTGTCAATTTTATGCTCCCAACTTTGTGGGAAGGCACAGGCATGGCTCCTCCTGTTCCAACATGACTGCGCACAAGTGCAAACAGCGAGGTCCATAAAGACATGGATGAGCGAGTTTGGTGTGGAAGAACTTGACTGGCCTGCACACAGTCCTGACTTTGAGACTGTGAGCCAGGCCTTCCTGTCCAACAGCAGTATCTGAACTCACATATGTGCTTCTTGGAGAATGTCCAAGCCATGGGCCAACATATTAAACCCTATTGATTAAGAATGGGATGTAACACAAGTTCATATGTGTGTGAAGGCAGACAGTGAATATTTTTGGCAACATAGTGTATATGTGCAATGAGATTTACCTGTATAAATAAAGTGGAAATGAACTGTTTACTT